TAGATATAATACATATAAATAGGACTAGGCCCACAAGGCTACTGGTTACATGCCTATAATCCCACACACCCATCAATTCCGTATGAAATTATATATTTTATAAAACTATATCTCACTTTTTTCCTTATTTTTCACGCTAAAGTTTAATCAGAGAGTCAATAGTCATTTTTTTTCTCTGACGCCTCATCCCTCCCGTTGTGTCCGAGTTCTTTCTCCACTGCTTTTTTCCCCCACAAACCACTAAACCCTAGTTCATAATTTCATCCAATTGAATAGAAATTTTCAAATTATGAAGACAATTCAGGTGATCAAAGTGATGTAGACTTCGATTAAAGTAAGTAATTTATAAATTTAAGTATATGAAGTTGGAATTTGAAAATTTAGATATTTCTCATCTATAATGAATTTTTTTCTTTTATACTTTTCAGGGAAAAATTCATAGAAATTAATCAAGTAATCATCACAACAAGAGGGAGCAATCACAACAAATACTAGACCCACACGCATTACGTGACACACCCTGACAGAAATCAAGGCGTGCTGGCCGTCACGTGAGGGTGACGTAGCCATGTGCACAGTGCGGAAGCAAAAATAATAATAAAAGTACAAATAAATAAAAACCAAACTACCAAAAGCTAGTTAAAGTAACACACTAGTGTGAGACTAAAAGTGATAGACAAAATTCAGAGCACAGAAAGCTGACGTTGTGACAGCCCGTCCTGGACTTTTTGTACAGTAGGGGTGAAATGACAGTTTTGCCCCTAGTATGTTTGTTTCGTTGTGTGGTCGTTTTTGGAATTTGGTTGGTTGATTTTGGACCACACACACACCCACACTCATTCCTCTCTCTCTGCCCTGTCCCGTATCTGTCTGTCTGTCTCTGTCTCTGTCTCTCTTTTCTCTTTTCTTCACCATATGTACGGACAAGGACTCAATCACTCGAAAACATGGTAGATCGAGGAAACAAACTACATATTTATGCTCGTGAGGTCCTTAGGAGTTCAACCATACCCATTTAAGGTAAGGGAACCTTCATTTTCACGTCGAACCTGAGAGGTATAAATCGGGGTACTGTTCATGCACACGTTAATTCTTGTGTTTTTGGGAATTTCAAGCTTGTAGGAAGCTTGGTGAGGTCCTTAGGAGGCTCAGGGTGGTTCGTTTGAAGGTTTTGGATGTCAGGATTGTGAGTTGCAAGTTTGGCCGGAGTTGATGGTGTTTTCCCGACGAGATTCTGTTGGTTTTAGTGCTTGAAAGTGGTAAGGATTTGTTCCTCTTGTTGTAAGCTTCATTTTGGTACCAATTTCGTGAAATTTAGGTGAAAAACAAGTAAGATATCAAGTTTAGAAATTTTCCTGGTTTTCTGGCACCAGCAATGGCGCCGGAGGTTGGCCGGAGAAGACGACGAAATATTCTGTCAATTTGGACAGAATATTCCTAACGGCGTTAACGGAATCCGTCAGAGTTCACAGAATAGTCCTGATGGCGTTAACTGACGCCGTCAGTGTACCAGGCACGTGCCTGCGCGTGGGCGGCGCGTGTGGCCGTGCCTTGGCCGGCGCGTGCGGTGTCAGAAAATTATTTTAAAAATATGGGGATGTTTGTGAGGTTGAGTAGATCACGTTGGTGTATTCACACATCCCATTTGAGCATTGTATGAGAAGTTATTTCGTAATGTTGGTTATGTGCTTTAAAATTAACGTTTTTATAGTTGTTTCGCATATAGGTGAGACCTATCCTGAGGACAAGCGCAGTCACTCGAGGCAAGAGGGTTACGACCCTTCTACATACCAGTGAGTGGGCTTTTGGTTTTCCGTATATACCTATATACTTATGATTTTCCCAGAAAATGAAATGAAACGTTTATATGTTTTAAATGCCATGAATTGCAATTGCATATTTAGTTATGCATTAGTAGTTATGTATATATATATGTTGGTACTGCGGACGCACAGGTAAGTTATGGTTTATGCTTGTGCTTAGTAGTGATATGATGATGCATAGAGAGCTCATAACCTGTACCCCCAGTGTTAGTGCTCCCGCCCAGAGTTGGGCAAAATCCTTCACGTGATGTTCACCTCCCGCACCACACGCTCATCTTGGATCCAAGTTAGGTGCACAGTCCTGTCGTACAGACCACTTTCGGTGACCCGTGATTATTCGCCCAGTCTTCACGTGATCGTAGCACTTGAGTGTATTTATTTACACCCAGTCCTGTCGTACAGACCACTTTAGGTGGTTCTGACTCGTGTGCAGGTATAGTTAATGAGTTAGAGATTTGAGCTCTAGATTCAACCGTACAGGTCACGTTATGTGACTCCGACTGATATATTACATGGCATTGATTGGCATTACTTGAGTACTTGCATTTTATTTAAAGGCATTTGACATGGCATATTTCTGAGCATGACTTATATATACGTATATATTCTATTTTCTAGGAAGTATACAGGTTTTACGGTGAGGGGTTAGAACTTTGTTTATGAAATGATTTTTGAAAAGCTTTGTTTTTGCCCACTCACGCTTTCTGTTTTGCGCCCCTCCAGGTTCTAGTTTGGCTAGCACTTTTGGTGGCTCCCCAGAGGATTTCTCGGCATACTTGACAGATTATCACCAGTGTAGGACCACCTTTGGGTGTGGTTATTTAGTGTTGTTTCTCCCGGACTGCACTAGGTCTTTCGTGCTCTGAACATTGTTTTTCACACTTACGCTTGCACATGTATGTTATATACTTTGTGTATAGCTAGGTTTATTTTTATTAGTATTTGTATTATTATTTCGTAGCTTCCGCACTGTGCACATGGTTACGTCACTCCCACGTGACAGCCAGCATGCCTTGATCTCAATCGGGGTGTGTCATAAGTGCAGTCCAGAAGAACGAATACTAATTACACAACACCCAAAGATGATCCTACATTTGTGTTGTTCTGTTAGAACCACCGTCAAGTCTTCTTGAGCCACCAAAGCACTAATTAGAACTTGGAGGGGCGTAAAACAAAAAGTGTGAGTGGGCAAAAACAAAGCTTTTCAAAATCATTTCATTCTCCAAAAGTTCTAACCCCTCTCCGTAAAACCTGTATAATTTCCCAGAAAATAGAATATATATATATATATATATATCGAAATCAGGCTCAGAATAACAACATTCGTAAATATGCCATATCGAATATCTCAACATAAGATGTAAGTAACCCAGGTAATGTCAATCAATGCAAATGATATATCAGATGGAATCACCTAACGTGACCTGTATGGCTGAATCTAGAACTCAAATCCACTACTCAACAACTATACCTGTACACGAGTCGGAACCACCTAAAGTGGTCTGTATGACAGGCTGGGTGTAAATAAATACGCTCAAGTGCTACGATCACGTGAAGGCTGTGCGAAGTATTACAAGTCACCTACGAGTCGGAACCACCTAATGCGGTCTATACGACTGGTTGACACCTACCTTAGATTCAAGGTGAGCGTGTGGTGCGGGAGGTGAACGATCACGTGAAGGCTGTGCCCTAACTCTGGACGGGAGCATTAACACCAGGGTGCAGGTTTATGAGCTCTCAATGCATCTCACATAACCACTAATTCACAACCATAATCTATAAACTTACCTGGCACTTACCTGTGCGTCCGCAACACCAATCATAAATATTTGCAACTACTAACGCATAATTAAATAGGCAGGCACTTTGCATGGCATTTTAAAACATACAAACATTCAATTTCATTTTCTGGGAAAACTCTCAAGTATATAGGTATATACGGAAAACCAAAAGTCCACTTACTGGTATGTGGAAGGGTCGTAGCCCCCGAGCCTCGAGTGACTGCGCTTGTCCTCAGGATAAGTCTCACCTATATGCGAAACAACTATATAAACATCAATTTAATGCACATAACCAAAACTAGGTAATAACTTCTCATACAATGCTCAAATGAGGTGTTTGAATATACCAACGTGATCTACTCAACCTCACGAACATCCCCATATTTTTTAAATAATTTTCTGAGGTCTCACGTGCCCCCATGCGCCGGCGAAGGCACGGCCAGACGCGCCGACCAAGGCACGGTCAGACGCGCCGGCCACGCGCAGTTACGTGCCTGACACACGGACGAAATCTCTAACGACGTTAGGGAATATTCAGTCCAAAAGCAAGCATATTCCGTTAAAACTAACCTGACGTCGTTAACTGCCGTTAGGAATATTCCGTCAAAGTTGACGGAATATTCGTTGTCTTCTCTGGTGATCCTCGCCGGAGCTGCCGCCGGCCGCCGTCTGTGTCGCTGGAAATTGGGAAAATTTTCAAATCTTCATATCTTCTTCATTTCTCAACCAAATTTCGTGAAATTTGTACCAAAATGAAGCTTACAATGAGTAGAACAAAATCTTACCACTTTGAAGCCCAAAAAATGAGGGAATCTCATTGGAGAAATCTTGCAAAATCCGGCCAACCTTAAAACTTGCTATCTCGACGTCGAAAATCCTTCAAACTTGTTCCCCGAGCTTCGTGAGAAGATTCTAAAGCTCCATATAACCTTAAACTCGATGAAACCTCCGCAATCACGAGTGCATGAAAACTGGGTTCTCGGGTTTTTGAGGCTTTCCTTAGGAGCTTGCAAGGAGTTCGAATCTTACCTTCTAGACGTCGATCCGTGCGTGAAAGGTTGGTTTTGAAGTTTGTCCGTACACTTGTAAGGGAAATGGAAGAAAATCCGAGAGAAAGAAGAGAGAGGGAGTCACGAGGAAAAAGGGATGAGTGTATGTGAGTGTGTGTGTGGTCCAAATGGTAGCCCACCAACCAAAACAAATCAAACGCCCTACAATGCTAATTAATGTCTAGGGGCAATTCGTCTTTTGCCACTAACGTTACAAATAATTTGGGACGGGTTGTCACAACCTACCTACCTTAAGAAAATTTCGTCCCCAAAATTACAAAACAAAACAAACCACTAATAATCATAAAACAAGCGGGGTACAAATCTCTCATTCGATCCTCCGTTTCCTAAGTAGCCTTCTCCACTGAGTGATTCCTCCACAAAACTTTCACTAATCTCACAGTCTTATTCCTCAGAACCTTTTTTTTCCAATCCAACATTGTTACTGGTTCCTTGTCATATGTCAAATCTGGATTTATTTCTAATGGTTGAGGAGGTATCACATGCAACGGATCAGCAACGTAATGATGAAGCATGCACTCATGAAAAACATTATGCAGTTTAGCCAGCTTAGAAGGCAACGCAAGCCTGCAAGCAACTTCACCAACTCGCTCGGTGATCTGATATGGTCTGATAAACGTGGGACTTAGCTTGCCTTTCTTTCCAAACCGTACTACACCTCTCCACTGTGATAGCTTCAGAAACACCCAATTACCAACTTTATACACCCTGTCAGTAGTATGCCTGTCCGCTAAGCTCTTTTGTCGATCCTGGGCCGCTTTCAGGTTAGACTTAATTACCTGAACATTCTGAGTAGTTTCATCTATAATCTCGGGACCCAGCAAAACTCTTTCTCGGACCTCTGACCAACACAAGGGTGTACGATAAGATTTTCCATACAGTGCCTCAAATGGTGACATGCCTATATGATGTGATAAATACTAGCACTCAAATTAAACCCTCTTTTTGACAATTGTAGTAAAGATATAAATAGGGATCGTTCTAGGCGGGGGATTAGGAGGGATTGCTAATCTAATGAAAACTGACTCAAAGATACAAAATTATGCTTAAACACACTTAAACAAACTCAAAGACTCTTAACTAAACTTTAATGACTCAAAACGAACTCAAAAGACTCAAAACAACACAAAACAACCAAATATACTCAAACTAGACTCTAAGACTCAATTTGGACGAAAATAGGTTTGGTTTTGACTCAAAATACTCAAAAACACTAATTAGGATATATTTGACACAACTAAATAAACGGGATTGGGTTTTTGATGAATTTAAGGTAAAAACAGGTAACTAAAATACTTAAACAAAGTTTGGACGAATTTAGGTATATGGATGGGTGATTAGCTAGCTAGAGGGTCCCTCTCCACACATGACACACTTGCATACAAATTGATTTCCAGTTGCTTTTCCAATAAACCATGAACCTCAGCACCCCAGATTAATCGTGACATCACTAATTAACCCTCAAATTTTCCTTTAGTTTTTGGATTGGATGACATCATACGACAACCCAAAGCATTCCTCAAAAGTTCCCTACATGACATCATAATAGAGATACAATCAAAGATCATTACGTTCTATGAAAATCATAAGTATTGACAAAGCACTTGTAACTATGACATCATGATACTTATGCTAGGAATTTACTTAACATGATTCTGAAAACAACCTTAACTACTTGTGAATATAAGTTTGTAACGATTATGTGAAACTCCCTTATATTCAAGCATGCAAATTAAGTGTGCACCCTTAATCAACAAACAATAATAAGTTATCCTTCAAATGGTTAAGTAAATTGCATTCACAATTTATGAAATCACAACTGGAATTAATCAATTCATATCACAAAAATAATCATAGTTTCAAAGTCTCCTCTAGCTAAAACAAGTTTAGCTCCTTATGTTTACAGCAAAACAAAGAGAATATAAATTAAACATTGAAAACAAAGATTGAATACACCTAGAAACGCTCCAACAATCCAAGCTTGAATGGCCAAAACGTCCAAGGCTTCTCCTATCTTCTTTCTCCTTCTTTGCTACGGCACAAGGGTGTTTGGGTATGAATTATGGTGATGGATGGATAGGTTGGATGGTGGTAGAGGGTGGATGATGGCTGAATGAATGGAGAGAATGAGGGAGGTGCGGCTATAGGATTGTCGAAGGGGAAGGATGATGGCTGAAGGATGAATCCCCTCTTATATGTGTGCGGCAAAGTATATAATATAATGAGAGAAAGGGCAAGGCAATAATTAATTAATTTGGGAAGGTTTTAAGACTCCAAATCCTTTGGTTTGTGTCCTAAAATGCATAAGACACCTTCAATGTTGGTGGAACTTAGGGATATTTAGGATTAGGAAAGGTCAAACTAAAATAGGAAACCTTGGCTTAACTTTCCTACTTCAAGTAGGAAACCTTCTTTGACTAGGAATCCTACTTTGATTAGGAATCCTTCTTTGATTAGGAATCCTTCTTTAATTAGGAATCCTAACATCTTTAGGTCTTCAATTTCGTCCATTCCTTTTGCTCCAAGCATAAGTTATCCATTCCAAGCCCAATTTTGCTCCAAAAGGCTCCAAAATGCACCTTCTTACTACTTTAGCCATATGGACCTACAAACACACGAAAATAGCTTAAATCACTATAATAAATAGAAACTAACTCACTAAATGTAAGAAAACAAGCTAACTAAGTCGCCTAAATATGCTCCTATCACTATACTTAAATGAAAGCTGTTGTTATAGGCAAATTCCATTAAATCCAACCACTTGTGCCAAGCGTCGCCAAACTGCAACACCGAAGATCTCAACATATCCTCCAATGTCTGAATAGTCCTCTCTGATTGTCTTTCTATCTGAGGATGATATGCCGTACTATAGAGTAATCTCGAACCCAAAGCTTCTTGAAAAGCCACCTAAAATTTAGAAGTAAATCTAGGGTCACGATCCGAGACAAGACTCACTGGAACACCATGGTACTCACAATCTTCGATATGAATAATTCAGCTAATCAGCTTAAAGAATACTTTTCCTTCACCGAAATAAAATGCGCTGACTTAGTAAGCTAATCAACTATCACCCAAATGCCGTCGTAACCATTATGTGTACGAGGAAGCTTGTACACAAAATCCATAGTAATATTTTCCCATTTCCACTCTGGAACGGGAAACGGTTGCAATAACCCAAACTGCTTCTTCCTTTCAGCTTTAACCTGTTGACAAATGGCACACCTACTCACATACTCAGCTATCTCTCTTTTCATACCCGGCCAATAATAAAATGGTCGAATGGTATGATACATTTTAGTACCTCCTGGATGCATTGCATATGTTGAGATATATGCTTCATCAAGAATTGCTTTCTTTAATTCCAAATTATTCGGCACATACATTATGCTCTCCTACATAAGCATGCCATCACTCTCTCGAATTCTGAAGTCTTTCTTTTTTCCCTGATTCCTTGCTTGAATTATTTCCTGGGTCTCTTCATCAACCATCTGCGCTTTAAGTACACGATCCATTAAAATTGGCCTAACTTGAAAATTAGCAAGTAAGGCTTCCTCTCGATCTTCTACCCCTAACCTCACTCTAGTTGACCTCAAGTCTACCAGAAGAGGAACACGACTAGCGTACAACGCGTTAATACGACCCTGAGATTTTTTGCTAAGTCCATCAGCTACCACATTCGCACGACCAGGGTGATAATCAATCGTGCAATCATAATCACTAAGCAGTTCCAACCATCTCCGCTGTCAAAGATTAAGATCCCTTTGAGTGAAGAGATATTAAAGACTCTTATGATCTGTGAAAATCTTACATTTTTCTCCATAAAGATAATGTCTCCACAACTTCAAGACAAAGATAATGGCGGCTAACTCCAAATCATGTGTAGGGTAATTCATCTCATGAGGCTTTTATTGTTGTGAAGCATAAGCAATCACCCTAGCATGTTGCATCAGCACACAACCTAGACCTATTCAAGGAAACATCACTGTAGATTTCGAAATTACTACTATCATCTGGGAGTGCCAAAACAGGTGCATGAGTGAGACAATACTTCAATTGCTGGAAACTCTGCTCACAATTATCATCCCACTCAAATTTAACATCCTTCTTAGTTAGCCTCGTCAGTGGTAAAGCAATCACGGAAAAATCCTTTACAAACTGTCGATAATATCCTGCTAAGCCAAGAAAACTCCGTACCTCTGTGACGATTCGAGGCTGCTCCCAATTCTCAACAACTGCTACCTTTTGAGGATCCACCAAAATACCTTGAGCAGATATGACATGTCCTAAAAATGCCACTTGATCTAACCAAAATTGGCACTTGCTAACCTTAGCATACAATTGGTGTTTCCTCAATCTTTTCAACACCAAAGTAAGATGTCGAACATGCTCTACTTTAGATTTAGAGTACACCAGAATATCATTAATAAAGACAATGACAAACCTATCCAAATACAGCTGGAATACTCGATTCATCAAATCCATAAAAGCTGCTGGTGCATTCGTTAATCCAAATGGCATTACTAGAAACTCGTAATGACCATAACGAGTCCTGAAAGCTGTCTTAGGGACATTCTCACTACTGATCTTCAATTGGTAATAACCAGACCTCAAATCAATCTTAGAAAATACGCAGGTGCCTCGACGCTGATCAAACAATTCATCTATACGCGGCAATGGATAACGGTTTTTAATTGTTATCCGATTTAATTGCCGGTAATCAATGCATAGCCTCAAAGTCACGTCTTTCTTCCTCACAAACAACATTGGAGCTCCCCAGGATGAAGTACTAGGCTGAATAAAACCTTTATCCACTAATTCCTGCAACTGGATTTTCAATTCCCTTAACTCAGCAGGAGCCACTCGATAAGGAGTTAAGGATATAGTATTTGTACCGGGAAGCAAATCAATAGTGAACTCAACATCTCGGTCTGGCGGCAATCTAGGTAAATCATCAGGGAATAAATCAGGAAAATGCCGGACTACCCTTACATCCTCCACATTACCAGGAGCAACATCATTCAACACCACATGGGCTAAAAAACCCTGGCAACCTTTTGATAATAGCCTTTTTGCTCTCACAACAGAAATAAAGCCATATCTCACCCTACTCTGCTCACCCACAAAAGTAACCACAGGTAATCTAGGACGATAGAAAGTAACTGTTTTCCCGTAGCAATCTATATTGGCACGATTATAATGCAACCAATCTGTGCCCAAAATCACATAAAAATCAACAATATCTAACGGGATAAGGTTAGCTGGCATAACTACATCCTCCACCATTATTGGACATCCCGGATACACACAATCAACATAACATCTCTCCCCTCTAGGCATAGCAAACTCTAAATCATACCTTAGAGGTATAGGGTGAGGTTGTGTCACTTGAGCAAATGTATGAGAAATAACAGAATGTGTCGCACCACAATCAATCAATACTCTAGCAAAATAACCAAGGATATTTAATGTACACATAATCAAGTCAGGATTATTCTGAGCATTCTGCAGAGAAATATTGTGGATACGCCCCTAGGTCTGCTGTCGTCCACTATGACCTTTGATAGTCTGACCACCACGACTCTGCACATTACGCCCCTGACTAGGTTGACCAGAATGCCTTGAAGATCCTGCACTACTAGAAGCAATCTCTCCCTGCTGAGGCTGTCCTCCTTGGTATCACTGAGATCTACCCGCTGGAATGGGAGGATACGGTATATAACCTCTAGAATACTAAGGATACCCACTCTGGGAATAAAGATACTGGGAATACGGATACTGCCCTGAAGCATAAGGAACAACGTTAACTTGATAATGGTAAGCACCACGACCCATCTGACTAAAACCACTAAACCTTAGAACTTGCTAGATCGGCACTGGTGGTGGTAAGAAAGACTGCTGGGGCCTTTGCTTATTCTAAGGACAACTTATCGCTCTATGTCCCATCTTTCCACAAGTGAAACGTCCACTGCTGCCTTTCCTACATTCTCCAAAATGCCGATTATTACATCTGCGGCAAAATGAAGCTTTTCTTCTACTAGCGTCCCCTTGTCTCTGGCCTCTAGGAGCCCCAGAAAATCTACCACCTCTTGTCCCCACCAGGTTGCCGATTCTTTACCTAAGAACCATGAAGTCGTATCTACCCACCTTTCAGAAGGAAGATTCCCTTGACTTTGCAACACTCGAAAAGTCTTTTCAATATGCTCAAGCCACCGGTCAGCTCCCTCATATCCTTCATGACCCTCAAACTTATCCAGCTTTAGATTATACATGATCTCCAAATGAGTCATTTGAGGAGGGCGGAGCGAAGACTGAATCGCATGAGCTATAACTTCCCCTAACTGAGCTATATCGGGGAAACTAGGCTTAGCTGAGCAACGTGGTTCTCTACGAAGCGGCATAGTTCTAACAGAAGACACCAAAACAATTAAACCACTCACAAATAATGTAGGACTGCCAAACCAAGGCTCTGATACCAAACTGATACACCTCGAAGAGTGGCGAAGCTAGGATTTCTCAGGGGGAGGGGCGAACTTAAAATAATGCAAGGTTAAGGAAAAATGGCAACGACTAAATCTTTTTATATAGTAATATCTTCCATAATTAATCAATACAAATAAATTACAATTCTTGCCGGTGAGGTTTCATGACATGAAAACGTCGCATAATAGGCTCATTATCAATAAAAGCAAATACATATTTCTCAATGTAAACAAGCATGCTATCACTCAACCATTGATCTCCCATTTTGTTATGCAATGGTGTTTTCACAATCTTTATAGCAGAAAAAGCTCTCTCCACTGAAGCGGTTGCAACTGGTAACACCAAAGCCAATGTAAGAAGTTTATACATTAACATATAGCTTTCACACCTCCCGGTCTTCACTAACTCTTTTGCAAGATCACTAATTCCTCTCAATGATGAAAACTCACTATGCATCTTCATATCATGAATGTAATTGTCAAGTTGAATTGGAAGATTCATAAAGTCCATACGATCAAAATCTTGAGGATAAAGTTGGGCTGAACGAACAATTTTTGCTTTGTCAAAAGATGCAAAATTATTCACTGGACTCAAACATGCCATACAAAGAAGTAACTCGGTGTTTACCTCATTGAAGTGATCATTCAACTCCTTTAGTTGCACATCAAGAACTTGAAAATAGAGGTCCACACGATAGTAATGGAAGTTTGTGATTTTTGGAGCTTTACGCCTTGATTTTCCAGGTACGAAATGCAAATCCTCCATGTTAGGAATGATAATATCATGCTCCTCACAAAACTTTTCTACGTCATGAAACAAGTCCCCAAAGTCATCATCTTTCAAGGATTGTAGTCTTTGCTTGCATCCTTCCACTAACGCCATCGCATTCATAATATCTTGATCTTTCTTTTGCAATGCTTGTGATAACTCATTTGTAATTCCCAATATAAGTCTCATCAAGAAAAGGTGAAATGCAAAATCAAAAGTTTGTATGTCTTTGAATAACCTAGTTGCTTCACTGAGATTATCTTGGTTGCCATCATTTTTAATCCATTCAACCACCTCCATCACGACTTTAAACATAACAATATTACTAACTATAGTACCATAATGCGAGTTCCACCGTGTATCACATGGACGCATGAGACTACTTTCTTGATTTAACCCTTTACCCATTTCAAGATTACCAAGATCAAGAGCTTTCTGAATTTGTTCTTGTTGTTTTTCTCTAAATGCATCACAATGCTTACACGATGATCCAACAAGATTCACCAAACTACTAGCATTGATGAAGAAATTGGCAACATCCTCATTGTCCTTTGCCACGAATACAAGAGCTAGTTGGAGTTGGTGTGCAAAACAATGAATATAAAATGCTTGAGGGTATTTGTTCAAATTCTTTGTTTTAAGACCATTTAATTCACCTTTCATATTACTAGCTCCATTATAGCCTTGTCCTCGTAACTTGGACATACTCAAATTTGTTGTAGCAAACAATCTTTCAATGGCCTCTTCAAGGGAGCTACTAGTTGTAGAAGAGACATGTTGAACACCCAAAAACTTTTCAATTGCTTCTCCTTTTCTGTTCACATAACGCAATACCACCACCATTTGCTCTTTAGTTGAAGAATCATGTGCTCCATCAACCAAAACAGAAAAAAATGCACCTTCCATATCTTTAGCGATTGCATCTACAGTTTCAATGGCACAAGCACGGACAAGATTTTTTTGAATATCAGAAGAAGTATACTTAAGATTCTTGGGAGCATTCTCAAACACAACCTTTCTAACTTGTTCATTATGCTTGGAAAGAAATTGCATAAGCTCCAAATAATTACCCTTATTGCTTGATTTCAACGATTCATCGTGGCCACGAAAAGGCAAACCTTGTCCCAACAACCATCTTTTGCACTCAAGTGAGGCACTCAATAAAGTACGATAATTAATGCGAGCTTCATCAGTTTGCTTAATCACAAATGTTTCAATGTGTTGTTTTTGTGTCATCAAATCTCTAGCTTGTTGTACAGCCTTATTAAGAAGACTTCCAACACCTCCCTTATGGACTCGAAGATTTTCGGGTCCTTTCTTCCAATTTGTAAACCCTATCTCAGTGAAGACATCACTTCCAGTGTTACCCATTTGATCAAAATCACATTTGAAAAGATAACAATAACGGCAAAATGCATCATTTTTTGATATACCATACTCCAACCACTTGAACTTATCAAACCAACTGATGATAAGACATTGATTGTCACTAACCTTTCTTGGCATGATGTGGTCTCTAGGTTGACAAGGATCAATTTGGAGATAGTGTCTACGAATTGTTTCATGATAATTAGTTGGATAATCAAGCATTCGACTTCTATGCGCAGGGTTTGTAGGAAGATTAGCCAATATTTCATCCAACTCAGTGGCCTCACTTTGTTGTGACCTACTCGGAATATTTGAAGGAGGACTTCTTGGAATATTTGAAGGAGGATGAGGACTACTCGGACTATTTGAAGGAGAAGGACTATCTGAAATGTATGAAGGAGGATTTAAGCATTGTTTCTTATAGTATCGTTCCATTATGTAACTGTAAAATGGAAAGAAAAAAAAAATCTTAGACTCTTAACTAATCATATTCATATGAATACAACTAATCAATTCAACTAATCATCAAGAATTCAAATTTTAATTTTCACCCTAAAAAATAATTTCATAATTTCATATCAATAATCATAGAAGCATACGATTCACATCAATAATCAATAACCAATAACCACATTAGTGCATTACCATATTATTCTATACCAATTAAACGAAATTCGTATTAAATAATTAATTAGGGTTAGGGATTATACATATAGGAATTAAAAAATTTACCTTTAAAGAATGGAAGCTGACGGCTCAGTGGCTAGAGAATGGCTTGTGAGTTGTGATGGCAGCAAGAAGCCAACGGGAATAGAAATTGAAAACCCTTCCATTCCGTTGGTGTTGGAACTTGGTTGGCTACTGCTGGGATTTTGGGAGCAGCAGGACCTCACCTATTTGTCTAATTGGTGAATGGGTTACGGGAGGGATTGAAGAAAGTAGGGGAAACGGGTGGGGGACAAGGCGACACGCACGCGGTCCCCCCTATATAATTTTTTTTTTTTAAATATCCAAAACGGTGCCATTTGACTTTAAAAAATTTAAATTTTTTTACCAGACCAAAATGACGTTGTTTTGGCTTGGATATTTAAAAAAAAAAAAGCTAATATGTTGTTCTTGTGCAACAGAACAGATAACCCAACACCGTCGGCAACAAAAACAGAGGATGAACCGGTGGGTTTTCCGGCGAGGGTAGTGGCGAACCCAGATCTCCAGTGCTGTTTCCCGGCGAGGGGAATGACGGTCGCCACTCCTCACCCTTACATGGCTTTGCCACTGACCCCGACCGAAATCAAGGCGTGTTGGCTATCACGTAAGGGTGACGTAGCCATGTGCACAGTGCGGAAGCAAAAATGATAATAAAAGTACGAATAAATAAAAACCACCAAAAACTAGTTAAAGTAACACACTAGTGTGAGACTAAAAGTGATAGACAAAATTCAGAGCATAGAAAGCCTAAGTGCAATCCAGAAGAATGAATACTAATTACACAACACCCAAAGGTGATCCTACATTTGTGTTGTTCTGTCAGAACCACCGTCAAGTCCTCGTGAGCCACCAAAGCGCTTTTAACTAGCACCTGGAGGGGAGCAAAATAGAAAGTGTGAGTGGGCAAAAACAAAGCTTTTCAAAATCATTTCATTCTCCAAAAGTTCTAACCCTTCTCTATAAAACCTGTACAATTTCCCAAAAAATAGAATATATATATATATATATATATATCGAAATCATGCTCAGAATAACAACATTCGTACATATGCCATATCGAATATCTCAACATAAGATGTAAATAACCTAGGTAATGTCAATCAATGGAAATGATATATCAGCCGGAGTCACCTGACGTGACCTATACGGCTGAATCTAGAGCTCACATCCACATCTCAACAATTATAAACAAGGGGCGCTTCTGGTTCTGTAGGTGCTTGAAACAATTTTGTCTTCTCCAAATTACTATACCTGCACACGAGTTGGAACCACCTAAAGTGGTCTGTACGACAGGCTGGGTGTAAATAAATATGCTCAAGTGCTACGATCACGTAAAGGATGTGCAAAGTATCGCAAGTCACCTATGAGTCGAAACCACCTAGTGTGATCTGTACGACAGGCTGGCACCTACCTTGGATTCAAGGTGAGCGTGTGGTGCGGGAGGTGAACGATCACGTAAAGGCTGTGCCCTAACTCTGGGAGGGAGCACAAACACCAGGGTGCAGGTTTATGAGCTCTTAATTCATCTCACATAACGATTAATTCACAACTATAATCTATAAACTTACCTGGTACCTGTAGGTCCGCAGCACCAATCATAAATATTTACAACTACTAACACATAATTAAATAGGCAGGCACTTTGCATGGCATTTTAAAACATATAAACATTCAATTTCATTTTCTGGGAAAACTCTCAAGTATATAGGTATATAAGGAAAACCAAAAGCCCACTCACTGGTATGTGGAAGGGTCGTAGCCCCTGAGCTTCGAGTGACTGTGCTCGTCCTCAGGATAGGTCTTATCTATATGCGAAACAACTATATAAACGTCAATTTAATGCACATAACCAAAATTAGGTAATAACTTCTCATACAATGCTTAAATGGGGTGTTTTAATATACCAACGTGATCTACTCAACCTCACGAACATCCCCATATTTTAAAAATAATTTTCTGAGGTCTCACGCGCCCCCACGCACCGGCTAAGGCATGGCTAGACGTACCGGCCACGCGCTGGCACGTGCTTGGTACACAGACAAAATCCCTAATGGCGTTAGGGAATATTCCATCCAAAAATAAGTATATTCCATTAAAACTAACCTAACGCTGTTAACTACCGTTAGGAATATTCCATCAGAGTTGATGGAATATTCGTTGTCTTCTCCAGTGATCCTCGCCAGAGCCGTCGTCGGCCGCCATCTGTGTCGTCAGAAACTGGGAAAATTTTCAAATCTTCATATCTTTTTCATTTCTCAACCAAATTCTATGAAATTTGTACCAAAATGGAGCTTACAATGAGTAGAACAAAACCTTACCACTTTGAAGCCCCAAAAATGCCGAAATCTCGCTGGAGAAATCTCACAAAATCCGGCCAACCTTAAAGCTTGCTATCCCGACGTCGAAAATTCTTCAAACTTGTTCCTCAAGCTTCGTGAGAAGATTCTAAAGCTCCCTATAACCTCAAACTCGATGAAACCTCCGTGATCACGAGTGCATAAACAGTGCATGAAAACTAGGTTCTCGAGTTTTCGAGGCTTTCCTCAGGAGCTTGCAAGGAGTTCGAATCTTACCTTCTAGACATCGATCCGTGCATGAAAGGTTGGTTTTGAAGTTCATCCATACACTTGGAAAGGAAATGGAAGAAAATTCGAGAGAAAGAAGAGAGATGGAGTCACGGGGAAAAAGGGATGGGTGTATGTGAGTGTGTGTGTGGTCCAAATGGCGGCCCACCAACCAAAACAAATCAAACACCCTACAATGCTAATTAACGTCTAGGGGCAAAATCATATTTTCCAACTAACGTTACAAATAATTCGGGACGGGCTGTCACAACACGGCCTATCATGTTTTATTGTTCATACTTACTATAATTTAATTGTTATCTTGTTTAAGATATAAAAGATGGCACCTACTAGAAAATATCCATCTGGCTACTTGAAGCGTCAAAGAAAAAGAAGGGTTGAACAATTGACTCAATCTCAAAAATGAGCTATTGATAGGTTTTTTGTTAAATAAAAAGAACCACAAAGTTCAGTGGATGATTTAGTTAATGAATAGCACATTGACAATGAGAAATTAGTTGATGATTTGGGCCATGATGAAATTAATGACATTCTTGAAGAGAATGATAATTATGAGGATGCTCCTAATGCCTTCATTGGACAATTGAGTGAGTCCATTCCCTCGAACATTTATGATCCTCAAATTTGGGATAGTCTTGATCCCAAATGGATTGATTTGTTAGTAGAAAGAAGTCCTGTAAGAGATCTATCAATTGAGAAAGGTGCTAAAGATCAGTTTAATAGGCGTTTTAATGTAGCCTTTTACACTCGATACTTGTCCAATGGAGAGAAACATGATGAAGATTGGCTAATGTATTCAAAATATATTGTTAAAAGTGTTCTGTTTTTGTTGCAAATTGTTCAAGAAAGGGCCTCTCAAAGGTCAATTAGCAAATAAGGGCTACAAAGATTGGACACATCTTAGTGTGAGGCTTAAAGAGCATGAAATCAGTTCTGATCACATCTCAAACATGACCACTTGGATTGATTTGCATCTTAGATTGGAAAAAAATGAAACAATTAACAAAGTTGTGTAGGACCAGATCAAAAAAGAAAAAGAGCATTGGAGGGAGTTACTATGAAGGTTGATTTCCATTGTGAAATATCTAGCTAAATACACTTTGGCATTTCGTGGAACGAACGATATGCTTTATGAAGAAAGCAATGGAAATTTTATGGGCCTTGTTCAAATGATGGCTGAATCTGATCCACTGATAAAGAAACATCTTCAATGATTTCAAAAAAAATGAGATTCATTACCATTACCTTAGTTATACCATCCAGAATGAATTGATATTGTTGATATCTTGTGAAATCAAAGCTGCAATCATTCAAAAAACAAAAGAAGCTAAATATTTTACTGTGATACTTGATTGTACACCTGATATTAGCCACCAAGAACAGATGACTTTGATCTTAAGATGTGTGGATATGAATAGTACTCCAGTAAAAGTAAAAGAATATTTTTTTGCAGTATCTGAATGTGAATAACACATCTGGACAAGGATTGTTTGAAGAGTTACAAAATGTATTAAAAGCTTTTGATCTTGATATTGACGATGTGAGAGGACAAGGATATGATAATGGATCAAATATGAGAAGGAGACACCAAGGTGTACAGAAAATGCTTTTGGATATAAATCATAGGGCAATGTATACTCCATGCGGTTGCTATAGTCTCAACTGAACACTTTGTGATATGGCAAACTCTTGTGGCAAAGCTAAAGACTTTTTTGGAATAGTACAACGTATTTACAGCTTGTTCGTTAATTCTACAAAACGATGGCAGAATCTGAAAGAAAATATAAAAGGACTGACTCTCAAATCATTGTCGGCCACACGATGGGAAAGCCTCCCAACCTGTATAAATAGAAAAAGCTTTACTCCAACTAGCAGAAAGTGACAATGACTTGGTAACAAGAAGTGCAGCTAAATCTTTAGCAACATATGAAATTGGGAATTTTGAGTTTTTATTGGGCATGACTATTTGGTACGAAGTATTGGCTGCTGTTAATGAGGTTAGCAAAGACTTGCAATCTAAAGACATGCATATTGATGTTGCTATAGAACAAATGCAAGGATTGATTGCTTATTTTGAAAAGTACAGAGAAACTGGGTTTGCAGAGGCCATGATTAATGCTAAAAACTTGCTTTTGAAATGAA